AATTTTTTTCAGGTCTGATTTTCACTATTGCTCAAATAGTGCTTTACTGCGAAGGATCGTGCACATATACATAACCTCATTTTGTACTCACCTTCTTCGTGAACATACAGCTCGTCATCCACGACACTGAGATCTGGATCATCAGGGTTATTATAGTCAGTAACATCCTCTAACTCCTCTTCTACTTCCTCTTGCACCTCTTCTTGCACCCCTTCCACTTCCTCTTCCAACTCTCCTTCCTCTTCCTCTTCCAAATCCCCCTCCACTTCCTCTTCCATCTCCCCTTCCACTTCCTCTTCCATCTCCTCTTCCATCTCCCCTTCCACTTCCTCTCCCACTTCTCCTTCCATCTCTTCCCCTTCCACCTCTTCTGTACCAGATCTGGACTCCTGAGCATTCCGCCGAAGAATATCATAGATCTTACTGACCGCTTTAGATCCCTTTCGCTCTGCTTCAGTTTGGTAGGGTATGGTAGGCAAACACAAAGAATGGTTGATGTCTAAAAGCTTTGCACTGTTTCCAGAGATTGATACATCACTGTGTTTATCAATATTTTTAGGAGGTTCTGATCTATAGTTTTTGGATTCCTTGTATTCTGCGTCAGTTTGATATAGTGTGGCGGTTAAAACACTAGACGGTTTACTGTCCAAAACGTCTGCACTTCTTCCAGAGAATGCTATGTCTCCTTGTCTATCAGTTTGAACACCTGAGGGTTCTGTTGAGAGTTGAGAGGCTGAAATTTGAGACTCATTGGCATCAGTAAGACAAGGGTCCTTAGCTTCAGTGCTTTTTTCTTTTGGCCCATCGTCAGCATTGTCATCCTTTGCGAAACCCACATCGTCAAGGTTTCCTGAAATATCACTGTATCCTTCCCTTTCTGTTTCACCCACATTTTGATTTTCGTTGTAAATAGACTCGCGAGTTGGCGAACGTTTACTGGGTGATTCATTACGCTCTCTTACGGACATTTTGTCAAACCCTGATACTTCTAAGCCCTGGGTTTCTACTTCATTCGTTGATGCCATTTTAACTGCTGATTCCGAGGGTTTCTCTGCTGTTTCTACAGCCTTGGTGTCTACTATTTTTGTCTCCCTGCTACACTGCTCCACCCTATCCATAGACTCCTTAGTTGGCCTGATGACAGTCACGTTTACCTTCGTAGGCGTTTCTTTCTTGTCTCTTTCGCTAGCTGTTATCTGTCTATTCTCTTTTGAAGGGCCAACAACTGTCATCTCTGACATGCTTGTCACAGCATCAGGTTGGTCCCCCGTTTGAGTGCTTGATTTCTGTACCTTGTCCATCGTTCTGACACCATCTGCATCGTTCTCCTTTTGTCTCTCTTCAGCATCTTTCTTCACCTTTGCAAAACCAAGATGTTTGTTGTTTTCTTTTCTTGTCTCACCTTTTTGAGGGTCTGCATCCTTTCTGGTTATTGTTGGTGTTAACTCCTTTGAATACCTTTGTTCTGTAGATTGGGAAGGCATTATGTTCACGTAGCCTTTAGCGCCTCCACTTGAGGCAGAAGCAGTTTTAATTGGAGCAACCCAAAATCCAATAGGACCTTGTTGTCGTAGTGGAAACTGAGGCACTGAAGGCCCTGCAGCATACATGTGGTGCACAGGCATCATTTGCAGGGCTGCAGGAACACTACCTAGATGAGGGTGTCCTGGCCCAGTATGAGGCAAAGGAGGAACATTGAACCCCTGAACCGGCATTTGTGGAAATCCTACTCTCGGGCGTGACACAGCAGGTATCTCTGGCACTGGGCCTGGAAATGGCACACTTGGGGGGAAAACATGATGGGGTCTACCACCTGTTGGTGGAAGACATGGTGGTGGAAGAACAGGCCTTGGGTGAGGGGTGTTTGCAGGCCACCGTGGTACCTCAGATGGAGAAATTGGTGCAATGCCTGGTGGATGTGGCATATTTGTGGGGAAACCAAATCTCTGATTGGGTGGAAGAGGAGGTGTCCACAGCTGCTCACGGTGCTGAATGGTTGGATGTGAAGGTGGAGGTGGAGGGGGAAAGGATGAGCCACTAGGTGCTGGCCGAGGTGGTATGGTAGTGGCTAAAGAAGAAACAGGTGCTGGTGAGACCGGAGAGTATGGCACAAACTTCGAGCCAGGTGGTGGTGGAGGAGCAGAACCGAAGGGCAGAGTTCCACCAAGAGGTGCTGATGAAACTGATGGATTCTGAAGTACGGGTGGAGCACTTGTGCTAATAATTGGTGAGGGTAGGAAGGGGGATGAAAACGGTGCAGAATGAACTGATGGTGGATTTGGCTGACTTGTGCATGGTACCATGCTCAATGGACTCCTAAAAGGCCCTTGAGGAAGGGGTGGATTAAATGGAAAACTTGACGACACTATAGCAGTCGGAGCTGTTGAAGGAGTACTTGCTGGAGTTCCTACAGAGTGGTACCGTCCTTTGGAGGATACCACAGTTATAGGACTAACTGATCCTGATGGCGTAGTGCATTGGGGACTCAAATCCATGGATACAGGTGAATCAGGCGACTTTCTATCTGCTTGAATATCAGCTTTTTCCTTCTGCTCCGTCCCTTGAGACTGTTTTGCAAGCTTAGGTTCCATTGTTTGACCATGTTCATCACCGGATGATTGTGCTGAAACCTCTCTAGAGTCTCTTTTCTTAAGAATCAGTGTCAACTTGGGTTTTTTGGGTGGTACATCAGAATCTGATTGTGGTCTTCTCAGGGTATCGCAAGAAGGAATCGCTGGAGGCGGGGCCTCAGAAAGTTCTGGTACAGTCTGCTCCTTAACTGGCTTATTGCTAGTGGGTGTTGCTGCACTGTTAGGAGTGTTTTTGGGCTGTTTCAGCCCCTTTGCTTGAGAATCTTCCATAGCTTTTTTTTCAGGCCTTACAACAGGTGTCTGTTTTTCTTCCTTCCTCTTCTGTTTTTCTTCCTTCCTCTTCTCAATGCTTTTCAAGTTTTGCTCTCCAGATGACTGTGTAGACAATACTAATGCACTACCTTGATGTTTTTGAGATCTTTCCCCTATCACATCTGTTGAACCCACCCTACTAAGGCTTCTCTTCACAGACTTCTCAGCAATCCTTGACGAAACTGCCATATCAGCAGTTTTTTCCCCCATCACAGAATCTTGTGACTGCGGTTTAATACTCTGAGACTTTGATTGATCTTTCACTGTGTCAAAGACTTTTCTAATGCCATCAATCATGGTGGACAATGAATCCTCTGGCTTTTGTAATTTCATCTTGTTCAAGAGCTCCTTTAGAAGTTCAGTGTTCACTTGACACTTTGGGCTTGATTTGTCTGGTTTCTGTAATCTCATGTTTTCCAACAAACTCCCTATAATCTCACTATTCCCTTGATAATTCTTTTTCGATTCTTCGGATACTGGAAACTTCATCTTCACCAACAACTCATTTAGAAATTCACTATTGACTTGATACTTAGACTGTTGGTTAGTAGCTGTTATTAATGATGTAGATGGAACTGAAGTAGAATTCAGTTTTACTCCTTGCGCTTGCAGTGATGCTTGTGCATTATAAGGCACACCATGGCTACCATTGCTGGTTGATGTGGCTGGTTCATCATCATCATCATCAACAGAATGCCTCATCCTCAATCTCGGATCTTCCCTGTGTTGTTCTTTCCTCACAACAAGTGCTGGTGAAGGTATTACTTTGTCTTCCTTTCTCAGGTCATCAGTGTGCTCTCGAAGAACCTGCTGTTTCTCTACATTTCCTTCATGTCTCGCATGTTGATCTTGCTTTCCAAGAGCTAAATTCTGTTTCTCTGTGTTTGCTGTTCTAATTGAGATGTCTTGCTGTCCAGAAAACACTCTGTGCTGTTCCACATTCCCACTAGTTCTAAAATTCATATCTTGTCTCCCAAAGAACAGTCTCTGTTCCTCGTTATTACCACTCAATCTTGCATGTACAGCCTGGAAAGGCAAATTTGGAGCTGTTCTGGGATTGGGAACATGAGCAGGAGCAAAAGAGGACTGAATTGTCGACTTCTGAAAATCTCCCTCAATGCCTCCTAAAGGGTGTGGCCTGCTAAGCCAACTTTCCACTTCACGTTTCCATTTCACTGTTTGCTCATTTGTCACCTTATCAGATAAAAGAAACTCCGACATATCTTGTCTTTCCTTGCTACTGGATGCCAGGGCAGCTAATGGTCTTGTAGAATCTAAACTGTGCCGTCTCGCTTCAATGAGCTTCTCCTTACCATCAACCTTTGTACTCAGATGTCTTTTCAGTTCCTTTTGAATTTGACTCACTGTCTTGACTTCTCCAAAATCGTTTCCAGTCACTGAGCCACTTGTCGTTATGCTAACAAGGCTCTCTACACAAAGAAGTAAAAGCAAATGCAAAAGTGTGTCACCACGAGCAAAAAAATTGCACAAATAAACTTTATTGAATTTGTTGCGGTAACAAAATAACATCAGCAACTGGGGAAGAAACAGGATGATGTCCCAATTGATATTCAGCCCCAAGTAACTGTTTACAAACTTATCTAAATAACAATAGTTGTAATATCACTAGACGTAATAAGTACACCAAGAAATAACAAAAATTATGTCTGTATCGAGAGGGCTGTTGTTCTATTGTACTATCCTTAAGGATTAAGGACCTGGTATTGAGTGCTCACTTTTCATATGTTGCTACATGAGGTATGTCTATTTTCAAATATTGTGTGGCGATCAAAATTAATAACGAGGTCACGGACAAAATTAGTTTTGTAAATCCCAAAAGAAATATCAGTGTGTTAAAAGTAAATGCAAATAAGGGTTTTCTTCCCTGAATAAGGTGAGGCAACAAATAATTTATATGTTCAATCTTCAGGGGTGTTGTCTTAGTTGTCTCTGCTATCACCATGGCTCTCTTAAAACACAACATTAATCCAGATGTTTCATTTTTGTAATCAAGTGTATAATTACATAGCTGTACGATCTGGGCACTGAGACACTCTTACCTCTGCCAGTTTTGTGTTTCTTCAAATAGAGGAGAACATGAAGTGTTGCTGGTGAATCTACTGTAGTAATGCCTAGGAAATGATTGATTTGGTTAGGAATTGTTTTCATAGTTATCCACTATTGCCACAAAAAAAGACTAAAATTTCAAGCACCAAGTCTAAAACCACTCTCACTGAAAAGGGAAAGAAAGTAGCTCCTTGTAATTCTTTTGCCTAGTAACAATGTGATAGATATATCTAAGATAACAGCATCAAGCCACTGATTTAACCCTTTAAGTTCCAGAAGTGATTAGCATGTAACCTTTCCCCATAATATCCACACATTGTCCAGCAAACAGGAAATGAGAATACTTAAACTTATCAGGTAGAAGTTGTCCTCTTGATATAACACCACATTCTTGCAATTTATTTGCAAGGAATTGTGTAGAAGCAAGGGGGAAGAATTAACAATCAGATCATTAGTAGTTAAAGAGTTAAGGAAAAATAAAGAAAAAAGCTGTTGAGAAAGTTACATTGTTAAGTGATACTCCTCACACAGATACAAAAACCTGTCTAACCTGTTTAACATGTCAGACAAGTTAAGAAAACTTCAGGAAAAACACCCACAAGACCATAGGATCATTACTCACCAAGGTCCAAAGTGATTTGAGAGGTTGGAATTAGAAATATCACTCTATTGGCATCTGGATTTTTGACAATTCCAGCCTTAACAGAAATACTTCACAGTTAATTGATGTAAATCAGAAGACCTAACACAAGGTGAACCTCATTTATTGTGGAAATATTTAACAACAAATGACAACACAGATGAACACCTCTCTCCCATATTTTAAACACAACTACAATTTGATAAATTGATCAACAAACAGCATAACCCAGGACCATTGTTTCCCTTTTGCAAAGGAGCTTTGTCTAACTATTGGTGTAACAGGTATAAATATTTCCTATTTTTTAGAGGGGTTTAAATTTAGTGACCAGGATCAGACATGCATAGCAGTGGTGTCCATTGAGGGGTCAGCTTTCTAGGACGTGTTTCTCTATGACAATTTCAACCACAACTAAACAAATGATAGGATCAAAAATAGCTAACATCAGTCAAAGATAACAACCATAATTAGTTGTAATTCATCCTGTGGCTTACCCAATTTTTTTCCTGGAAAAACTTCACAAGTTTTCTAAGTTTTCCATGATCATCTTCAATTGGGACTAAATCACAATGCAAAAAGCTTGTCCCACCTGCTAAAGATGCTAAAAACACAAAAGATAATTCATAGTTTGAATTATGAGAAAATATCAACTTATTTATTTGTCAGAGCAAAAGTTGAAAACAACAACAACAACAACAACAAAAAAAGCCAACCCAAAACAACTGAAACATAAACACTAAAACACTCCTCTGCTTGTATTTTCAGTGATATTCGAGAGGCTTGCTCCTAAAGTGGAAGCCCCTGGATATACTGAGTACAAAATATCCATAAAGTGATGCAGTTGTAAAGTGCTCTTAACTCAAAATTTCTACAAACTTCATTATAATTTTTTGGAGTCATACATCTTTGCTATAGATGGAATGAAGAGGCTAACTGGCAAGGTTCTTAATAATACCAAGAAATGAAGACCAGATAAAATGATCCTCTTTAAAATGAAACAAGTTTCCTTTTTGAGAATAAGGCCACATAGAATGACAAAATTCAAATAAAACTTGAAAAACATTACCTTTGCACACTCTGGACACAGATGGTGGACCAGAACGAAAAAGTGGGAAAGTCAAGAATGGCCTCAGCTGCTGAAAGGATATTTTCTCCTTCATGACGATCTTCTCACCACTAAAAGTCAAAATGTTAGTAACAACTGAACACGAGTTGATAGCAGCATAACAACTTGATAAAGGACCGCTTTACAATGAGAGAAACCTTTTCCAAAGATCCATAATGATGTGAATTTTACATAAAGGGGGTAAGTTTCTAAAGAAACTGTGGTGCTGTGCTGGTTGGGGTAACAAGGTAATTTGGTAATATCAACTAAGTTGAAATTATAAATTGGCCACCATGAAGAGTTGAAAAGCTGACATTTCAAGCGTTAGCCATTCGTCAGAGCGAATGGAGGAATTGTGGGTATGTGTGGGTTTGTATGCAGAAAGTGGAGCTACGCTATTAGTGGGAACATGGCAACGAGAAAAACATGAATAAATTAGTAGAATGAAAAGCGTTCATTGATACCTGTGGGATTAAGAGTGCTGATTTGAAAGATAAACTTTTGTTCAAGAATTTTGCAGCTTTCCAAGCTACCTACACTTAATAAAAGACTGCAGATTGCCATATGTTGCTTAGAATGATTAGTTAGATAAAAGTGTCTAGCAACTGGTTTTGATGCGTCTTTGTCATTCCTTTCTACATCACGAAGATGTTCTTGGAATTGGTCACCCAGTCATCTTCCTGTTTCGCAGATGTATATCTTTTTGCAACAAGTGTAAGTTATGCAATAGATGACATTGGCTGAGGTGCACGTGAAGTGATCAGTGATGTTAATGGATCGTTTGGGTCCCGATATTTTTTTCAGCATTGTGAATGAAAGGACAAGAAATATTTCCAGCTATTTACACAAAATTATGGCTCCCATCAAACCTACAGATTCACATAGTTACTTGTTGTATTCATCTTCACATCCATCTCATGTGAAGAATTCCATTTCCTTTTCTCAGTTTCTAAGACTTCGCTGTTTATGTAGTGATGACTGATTTTTTTGATGTAGCGTGTAGTGATGTAGTATGTAGTGATGACTGATTTTTTAGCTCCGACAAAGGGCTAACGCTCGAAACCTCAGCTTTTGAAATCGTTATGGTGGCCAATTTACCATTTCAACTTTGTTGATATATCCAAATTATTTTGAAAAATGTGGCTACCCTGTTTCTGTTGTTCAAGCAGGTCACCAACCCGCCCAACTTATTGATCAACAGTCAGCACTACAAACACCACACAAGGAAAATTCTGACCACATTCCATTTACTCTCACACTTCACCCTTGCAACCACTCAATTAAATCCATTATTCTTAAAAACTTTAAATTACCTCAAAATGATCCAGAGACTGGCACTATCTTTTCGCAACCTCCACTCGTTTCATTCAAACGTGACAAAAACATAGGCAATTTTTTGGTCAGAAGTTCGATACAAACTAATGATCAACCAAGCACTTTTGAATGTGCTCATGCATGATGTAAAACTTGTCCTTTCATTCGCAACGTTGAAAAAATACAGGGACCCAAATGATCCATTAAGATCACTGATCACTTCACATGCACCTCAGTCAATGTCATCTATTGCATAACTTGCACTTATTGCAAAGATATACACTGGCGAAACAGGAAGACAACTAGGTGACCAATTCCAAGAACACCTTCACGACGTAGAAAGGAATGACAAGGACGTATCAAAGCCAGCCGCTAGACACTTTAATCTACCTAATCATTCTAAGCAACGTATGGCAATCTGCGGTCTTTCCTTACATTTAGGTATCTCGGAAAGCCGCAAAACTCTTGAACAAAAGTTTATCTTTCAAATCAGTACTCTTAATCCCACAGGTATCAACAAATGCTTTTCATTCTACGAATTTATTTGTGTTTTTCTTGTCGCCATGTTCCCACCAATAGCATAGCTCCACTTTCTGCATATAAACCCACACATACCCACAATTCCTCTATTCGCTCTGACGAAGGCTAACGCTCGAAACATCAGCTTTTTAACTCTTCACGATGGCCAGTTTACAATTTCAACCTAGTTGATATTACCAAATTAAATTTTACATAGTTAAATATGCCAATCTTAAAACATAATAATATGTAGAACACATACTTCAACAAGTGAACTGTTTCAAAACCACAATAGATAGTGTGAAACTTACAGAAATATCTTACTGATTGAGTGCATATTAAATTTGACTGTTTCTTTCCAAAGGTCAACAATAGTTACTGCAACACTGAATTACCAACAATTAAAAGATCTCTCACCAAAGGTGGTTTACATTCAATAGTACTGTGCTCTATGAAAAATGGAAGGGAGCCCAGTGCTCTGAAACTGTGAAATCCAGGGTGCCCAGCATATGCTTTTTATGGAAAAACTAAGATTCCTAAGTTGCCCAAGAGCAAAAGTAAGCCACCATGGGCCACCGGGCACTGCTAGACCACATCCCTGACTTTACATCAGAGTTGCTTCATCCACACTCAATCATAGTAAAATTAAAAATGCATAAAGGCTGATAGTTTCTAAAGAAACTGTTTGGGGCTGCATCGGTGGGGGTAACAAAATAATTTGAATATAACAACAAAGTTGATATGGTAAATTGGCCACCGTTACGATTATAAAAGCTGACGTTTCAAGCGTTAGCACTTCGT